TTTTAAAAAACTAAATTGTCACACTGAACAAAAAGTCTTCTTTCAACGACTACAGATTTGAACTTTTTTCTCATTTGATAGCTCGAATTACATCTTTACAAGAGGAGGTCAAGCATCTCAAACATAATCTTGAAAAAGTGGAAGGAGAAAGAAAAGAAGCTCAAGACATGCTTAATCACTCAGAAAAGGTAAATGATTTAACATATACCAATTATGACAGAGTAATTACTGATTATCATTGACTACAAGGTGGTTTTATAAAATAGCATTTATTCTTAAAGTTAATGTTTATATAGTTAACATTTCTAAAAGTTTTTATGTTTGATTGGTTGGTATGTGGGGATGTATGTCTTATTTTGGGTTTTGTTAATTGTTATTTTTGTTTGGTTTTACCCTAGAAAGCATTAGATGTTTCATGTTCATTAACAGATCATCACAGATTCCTTTGGTTTGGAAATACCTTTTTATAAAGGATGTTTCCCTATTTTCTTTGTACATGAGTAAGATGAATGTGCTGTGAGGCCTTATGAAGAAGGAAAACAACAGATCAGTACATGGTAGACAATGAGTGCTTGTTCTGTTTTGTTACAATTAACAAAATAGAAAAGAGCATAAAGTGATTGGCCTTTGCATTTAGAATTTTCTTAACAATAAAAATTTCATTGGTTATTGTCTTTTACTTACCTTGTTAAGTAAGAGTTAAATAGGTGATATAGAGATACAGCTCTCAGTTTTTCAAAGCCTCTTTGATATGTTGGAGGTTCAGTAGAACCTCAGGTAAATTATCAGAAAAGCCACTACTTCTCTTGTCCTTTGGACATGTTTTGTCATAATTAGAATAGTTTTTGATGGCCAAACTGGTGTAAATGTGGACATAGGATAAAAGAAGGAAGAGGAGAAAAGGATACCCAAGCAGAAATGGAATATGTTTTGACTCATTTTTCCTTTCTTTGTCAATGACTTGCCACAGGATGCTTTGTGTTTGTTGTTGTTGTTGTTGTTGTTTTTGTGAAAGCAAAGTAAATGTGGATATAGGTGCAAATGTAAAGAAAGATCATTTAATATATTTTTTTAAAGTGGTAGCAGGCCAGGCAAGATGGCTCCTTTCTGTGGACCCAACATTTTGGGAGGCTGACAGAGGAGGATTGCTTGAGCCCAGGAGTTTGAGAATAGCCTGGGCAATGGAGCGAGACCCTATCTCTACAAAAAAAAAAGTTTAAAAATTAGCCAGGTGTGGTGGCACATGCCTGTAATACTAGCTACTCTGGAGGCTGAGGCTGGAGGATAGCTTGAGCCCAGGAGTTCAAGGCTTCAGTGAGCTAAGAAGGTGCCACTGCACTCTGGCCTGGGTGACAGAGTGAGACCTCATATCTTTTAAAAAAAAGATATCAAAAATTTTAAAATAAGCTGAAAAATTGTCTTATTCATTTCTTATCGTAGCAATGAATTGTCCTGAACATAACCACCAGCACAGCCTTGTTCTGCTATCCTCCATGGTTAGATTCAAATGGGAAGGGAGGGGGTAAATAAAAGGTGATCTTTTGCTTTTAGTTATTATGTGTTTATTGTGATTTTTAAAATAAGACATCTTACCTCTTCAAGAACATTAAATGTAAGATTTACTAACATGCCTTCTGCATAATTTATTACATGACTCCTCCCATTTTACAGGAAAAGAATAATTTAGAGATAGATTTAAACTACAAACTTAAATCATTACAACAACGGTTAGAACAAGAGGTAAATGAACACAAAGTAACCAAAGCTCGTTTAACTGACAAACATCAATCTATTGAAGAGGCAAAGTCTGTGGCAATGTGTGGTAAGTGTCAGTTTTAATATTTTTACAAAATTGGCTTTAAATAGTGACTACAAAAAATTGGTTTTAATCAAAATTTCATACTGTATAACTCAAAAATCATATAAATTATGGACCTGGCGTAGTGGCTCACACCTGTAATCACATCACTTTGGGAGGCCAGAGCCAGTGATCACTTGAGGCCAGGAGTTTGAGACCAGCCTGGCCAATATAGTGAAACCCCATCTCTACTAAAAATAAAAAAAATTAGCCAGGTGCCTGTAATCCCATCTTATTGGGAGACTGAGACACAAGAATCGGTTGAACCTGGAAGGCAGAGGTTGCAGTGACCTGAGATGGCACCACTGCCCTCCAACCTGGGCAACAGAGTGAGACTATGTCTCAAGGAAAAAAAAATAAAAGAAAGAAATTATAAATTATAATCAAGAAGAGGATGTCTTTCTTTTGATACTCTCCTTTTTTGTTTTGAGACAGTTTTGCTCTTGTCTCCCAGGCTGGAGTGCAGTGGCGTGATCTTGTCTCAGTGCAATCTCCGCCTTCTGGATTCAAGGGATTCTCCTGCCTCACTCTCCCAAGTAACTGGGATTACAGGCACCCACCACCATGCCCAGCTAATTTTTGTATTTTTAGTAGAGACAGCGTCTCACCACATTGGCTAAGCTGATCTCGAATTTCTGACCTCAGGTGATCCACCTGCTTCAAGCCTCCCAAAAGTGCTAGGATTACAGGCATAAGCCACCATGCCTGGCAATACATTCCATTTTCTAAGATCATAATTTCACCTTCTAGTTCCCTCAGTTTACTACTCTGTTCCCTATGAAAGTTAGTGGAATCAGTCTTTTCTCTGTTTTTTAGCCCTTTCCTTGATTTTCTTTATGATCCATTCTGGTTCTCATTGTCTGTTAATTCATCTGCTTTCTTGCTTTGTACCCTCAATTTTCTCATTTCTTTTTGCTTCCACTGTGTTATGCCTCCAGGCACAACCCTAGTTCAGACCAGCCAGCCGGTTTCTTCAAGTAGTTGAGTGTTAGTTCAGTGCATTATCTGCAACATGAGTTGTCAGTTTTGTTTTTTTTTTTTTAATTTAAAAAAATTATTTATTTTTTGTAGAGACAGAGTCTCAATATGTTGTCTTGAACTCCTGGGCTCAAGGGATCCTCCCATTTCGGCCTCCCAAAGTGCTGGGATTATAGGCGTGAGCCACCATGCCTGGCTGTTAATTTTTTAAAATATGTCACTCATAAGTTTCTTCTCCTAGACTTTTATCTTCCCAAGCTTCCTGTGCCATTTTTTAATCACTACAGTTTTAGGTGAACTTCTTATTTCACAAAGAAATAATGAAAGCATAGGTGTGAACACCTCAAAATCTAGTTTTCCTATCAATCTATCCTACTTATTTACCTGTCTTCATTATCGTTGCTATTATCTTAAAGGAGGGTGATTTCTTCTTATCTCACCTTCACTTCTTATCTCTTTTTTTTTTATTTCCTCAACCTTTTTACCTCTACTGTCTTCTTTCTTTTTGTAAACATGTACAAGTCTCCCATCTTAAAAACGAATAGGCAAACCTGTGCAGCAATCTGTGATCCTTACTACTTACCAGTGTTTTATTTCTAATAAAATAATAAAATAGTCAAACTTCAGTGGCATCAGATTCTTTATAGAAAAAAATTTTTAAATATCCAAACTTCTAACAAGTCTTTTCTTTACCTTCTACTTATTCTTAATGTACCACAGTCTCGATGGGTTAGCATCTTAAATTCTTTTTGCTCAAAAGAAAGCTCATAACCTTATCCATCAAACCTGCTCTTATTCTTTATTCTCACTAACCTAGTTAACGGCCATATTGTCTTTATGAGCCAAGGCTTTGAAATCAGACAGATCAATGTTGCTTTGTAACTATTCTAAGTTAGATGGGAAAATGCATGTAAAGTGCCTGCGCATAGAAAGTTTTCAGTAGCTATTAGCTTGGCTACTGAACATCACATCATCACCTGCCAAGAGTTGTTCTCCTCATCAATCATTCTTACTTAGGTTAGAACAATTTTCCTTTTTAGTTCAAATCATATTTTTGTTGTCCTTAAAATCCTTTAGCGGCTTTTCATTGTTTGCAGGGTACCTTTCAAACTCCTTGGATATGTAGAATCTGAGTTGACACCTGCCTATCTTTTACAGTCTTACTACTCTGCATTTTGTTGTGTGTACCCTGTGCTTCGGCCATACTGAGCTACTTTTATTTCTTTCACTTAAGTTAATTATTGGCTGCCTACTACAGGCGAGGCACAGCTGGGAATATAGCAAAGAATAAAGCAGATAAAGCCTGGAGTTTACATTCAGGTGGTGAAGATAGACAAAAAAAACAATGAATACATAAATGAACATAGGTACAGCTTGTAATTATTAATGTGGAGGAAATACACGTTAATATGATTGTTTTAATTTGGCACTGCCCTAGAAGGGGTTCTGAGGAAGGCTCTCTGAGCTAGTAATATTCGAGGTAAGAACTGAAAGTCAAAATGAACCAGCTATTAAAGGAGCTGGAGAAAAATACATTCCAGGCAGAAGTGTTAGTGAGTTCAATATTCTTACTCTAAGATTTGTATGAAGCCACTCGCGCATTTTAAGCTTCTGGGATATGTAATTTATATTGTTAAAAGATCACTCCTGCTGCTGTGTGGAGAATGCTTGCAAGAGCGAGAACAGTGATAAAAAGGAAGATCACTTAGAAGCCTATATGCTGTAAACACTGGTAGTAGTAGAGAGGGAAAGAAGTTGAGGTATAGAGGACAAGAGTTGGTGATGAATTGGATAGAAAAAGAAGAAAGAAACCTGGTGCTGTGGCTCACACCTGTAATCCCAGCACTTTGGGAGGCCAAGGTGGGCAGATCACTTGAGGTTAGGAGTTTGCAACCCACTTGGCCAACGTGGTGAAACCCCATTGCTACTAAAAATATAAACATTAGCTGGTGTGGTGGAAGGCACCTGTAATCTCAGCTACTTGAGAGGCTGAGGCAGGAGAATTGCTTGAACCTGGGAAGCGGAGGTTGCAGTGAGCCGAGATTGTGCCACTGCACTCCAGCCCAGGCAACAGAGCAAGACCTTGTCTCACAAGGGCAAAAAAAAAAAAGGAATCAAGAAAGACTGAGGCTTTTAATTTGAACAGCTGATTGGATGGTTGTATATTGAGACTAAGGCTGAGTTTGGTGGCTCATACCTGTAATCTAAGCACTTTGGGAGGCCAAGGCAGGCAGATCATTTGAGGTCAGGAGTTTGAGACCAGCCTGG